CAGCCCCTCCCTGAGACAGGACATTCTCTGGCCTGGGAATCTGTTCAATAAGAGTCTATACCTCCCCCTCCAAGACCTGGTCAGCCCTGGGTGGCTGAGATCACATCTGTCTCTCTCCTAACAGCAGCCCAGCCAAATCAGAAGATAAACAGATGGCTGGGTCTCATTTCTCTGGGAGTGGGGGTATAAAGAAGAATAAACCAGGTGTGCTGGAGAGAATGAGAAGAAGGGCAGGCTTGACATCCAAGGTGGTCAGGTCATCTCCCTGCTGGACAGGTGGCCTCTATTCTGCAAGGTAGGATTTAGAAGTATCTGGCCAGGCTAGGCAGCACTTCTGCAAGGTTGGAGCCTGCAGAGAGTCCGGGCTATCTCAGGGCATCTGGGTGCCTATCTTGGCACTGTGGGTCCATGGTGTGTCCTGTTCCCAAAGTCACCAGGACATAAGGCTCTGCTATATCTCTAAGGGCCTTGGGCCCACTCAGACTAGGGACTCTGGGTCTAGCACTAGCAATTCCTTGCCCTGAGGTGGTGAGGCATTGAGTGAAGGTGTTAGGATACCCGCAGCTCCATGCAGCAAAGGAGCACAGGTCTGGTTCATTAGGTGGCCAGAGCTCATTGTGGGATACCTTAGCAAGTGAGCAGTAGAGACCACCCTGCAAATGCCTGTGTGTATAAATTATATGTATACATATGCATGGGGGTGAGGGGAGAGGATTCCTGGCACCCAAGACATGTAAGTAGCCTCTATGAAGTTCTGGTACCACCATTCAAAGCCTATCAGAATGTCCTACCAAACAGGAAATCAATACACAAGGAGAAGATAATCTTTTTTCTGAGGTCTATAAAGCTTATTCTTTAAAGGGAGTCATTCTGAATAGCCTAGGAATGAACAGAAATTATTAAAAAGTCCCTGAATAGGACTGCTGCTCTCCCCACTCCTTTGATGCTGAGAGTGGGAACAGGGTAACTGACTGAGGTCCAGGATGGGGGTGAGCCCCCGCTCCACAACTCTCCTAGAGGCTCTCACCTGGAGTTCCTGCAGCTCCTCCTCACCCTGGACCAAAGCTGCTCTGCTAATAAGGGGCATCTGTGGCCCAGTCCAGAGTTGCACCTCACTACCCTGCTGTTTGACTTCCCTATGGTTCTGAATCCTCCCGGCTGCGGCCACATGGCTGCCATGTGGCCAGGACAACCTTCCTGTAGTTTGCCTCATGTCCTTTTCTTTGGGGGCCCACTACCAACTTTTTGTTTTCTGTCCCAGAAACATTTCTGTCTCTCAGCACCAGCTCAGAGTCTTTTAGACAGACTGTGGGGTCTTGAAGGTGCACGGAGAAGCCACTCCATCTCCCTGCTCCCTTCATCTGGCCTCTTGCCTTCTCTGACCTTCCCCATCCCTCCCTCTGTCTTACTTTCCCACCTCCTGACCAAGTTGGGAACTTGAAAGGGCCACACTGTGCCCTGGTTGGCTATGCCACCATGGCGACCCCTGTGGCTCCGTGGGTGCTGGTCTGAGGCAGAGCTGGTCAATGATTGACCTTTCTTTGCCCCTAAGGGCCCCCCCTCATTCTTGGTACTGTGACCAATGCCCTTTCCTGTCCACTTGGAAGGCAGAGTTCATGAAGCAGTGAGGGTTCAGATGTCACTCACAAGGGCTTGTCTTATCTGCCTTCTTCCAATTCAGGATTCAAAAGATAAGTGAGGGCTTGGGAAACTCTCAGTGCCTGGAGGAGGTCCAGGAGTGTGGTCCTGCTCCTTTCACCCCGGGGGCTTGCTCTGGGACCTTCTCTCCTTTTCCATCTCCCAGTGGCATGTGAAAGCCCCTTTCCTGGCAGGGCCGTGTTGAAAGTGCCCTCAGAGCAGGCACTGTGAGCTTGGCCAGTGTCCAGCTGGGATGAGCAGCTGGGGTGCTAGGTGTCTGCAGGTCTAGGACCCGGAGGTATGGGCTTCCCTCATCAGCCTCACCACCCCACCCCCATCCTCTCTGCTTCTCCCTCTGTTCCCCTTGGTCCCGATCAAGGCCATTTAAAGTGGGTAGCACAATGCCTGGTACAGTGCAGACCCTCAATAAACATTTGCTAACGGACGAAAGAATGAAGCCATAAATAAATAAATAGTCCCTGAATGTAAGGACCGAATGAATCCCATTATAAGCAACAAAATGGCATGATTAAAAGCCTGGACTCTGGTCCTGCCAGTGTGACTCAGTGGTTGAGCATCTACCTATGAATCAGGAGGTTGATTCTGATCAGGGCATATGCCATGGGTGCTGGCTCAGTCCTCAGTAGGGGCATGCAGGAAGTAGCTGACCAATAATTCTCATCACTGATATTTCTATCTCTCTCCCTTCATGAAATAAAAAATATATTCTTAAAAAAAAAAAAAAAAAAAAGCATGGGCTCTAGAGACAGACTATATGAACTCCAATCCAAGTTCTTCCACAAGTTGGGTGCCCTAGGATTATGCTTCAGTTTCATCACCTGACTTCAGTGAGGATGAATGGCTTAATATTTGTAAAGTGCCTGACATATAGCAAAATGCTTTGTTAGCATAAAAAAATCTCATCCTGCCCTGGCTGACTAGCTAAATTGGTTAGAACATAGTCCTGATACACCAAGGTTACAGGTTCAATCTCTGATCAGGGCCCATACAAGAGGCAACCAATGAATAAATGAAACAACAATTTGGTCTCTCTCTCTCTCTTCCCCTCCCCTTCTCTACCTAAAAGATCAATTTTAAAAATCTTAGCCTTTCAGGTCTTTAAATGGTACTTTGAGTCATTTTGATGAACTTTTTAGGAAGATGAGAAACCAAGCTTCTTAGCCCCACTGAAGACATCAAAGAATCCTCACCTTCCACAATAATGTGGGATTGTAAAAGTGACACCACATAAGCTGAAACTGAGCCAAATCAAAACCAAGAGAGAAAAATCACTGCTGTGACCTTCCACATTTTTGTTGAAACAGTGAAAACTCTTACTGTAGGATTTTAATATGTAGGAAAATGGGGGAAAAATAGTAAAATTAATATTTAATACACTATCATTTAAAACATTAGAAACACTGCAATTCTTAGTGTTTTCTTTGTTTAAAAAGCACACATATAAAGAGAATTTGAACAGGTCATGCCTTCTTTGTATAACTTAGGATACCAAGGGAGCATACCTTGATGAGCACATTGGTGAATTGTCATACTCCTTTATAAATTTCCATCAGCTCCCAATATTTTATCCCTTGTGTTTTCAACGTTGTGAAATATCTCAGAGTTCCTTTAATGTGAAGTTTTCTGCCAACATCATTTCCTTTGTGACATCATCCTCCTTTTTGTCACAATCACTTTCACTTTTAACACTGGTTTCAGGTTTCATCAATATGAACAGAAACCTGGAGGGTCCTGCTATTAGAAAGTCACAGGAGCTTACTCAGAATATCAAATTCCATTCTGGAAATTAAAAACCAAGAAACTCAACCTGTGCAAAGGAACCAGATAATTACAAAAGCATTGCTGAATTCCAGTCTCTACTTTACACACACACACTAACACACTAACTTTTCAATACATGTACAGGTATTTTTAGTGTCTTACACTTAACTGTTAATGATTACTTAAAAAGTGGGAAAATAGACTGAATCAAGCAAATGAAAGTAGTTGCTAGAAATGGGTCCTGGGTTAGATGATTAAGATCTCATATGAGTCTTGGGAGAATTATTAGTACACAGTCTCTAAGAATGTGATGAGAGGTCTAACTTCTTTCCCCCTAAAAAGGGGCAGATGAGCAGATACAGCATTTTATCCAGCATTTCAGGGAGTTCACAGAGTCCCTGAAATCCAATTAGAAGCCCTGGCTAAGAATCTAGCACTTTATTACTATATAAAACCCAGCCAAAATCTGTTTCAGAGCCATTACAAGTCCTGGAAACTTCAGGCACTTTCTAAGGGAAGGAAAACCCTGAAGGAGTCATCAGCCCCTGGGAAACTGCATTGAATGGTGCTCTTTCCTCTCCCTACAAATCTATTCAATCTAGGTATCTTCAACAAATCAGCATCTCTGAAACTATCTCTTGAGAGTATAGATATTAGGAAACCTTACTGTAAAGACAGGCTCAATGTTATGTTGTTGAAAAACAGAACCAGCAAATCAAACTGAAAATCATCTTACACAGGAGATTAGCTGCCGTGAGAAGCAAGGTTGCTGAGTGGCACCTGAGCCTATCTATCGCAGGTGGCATTCTACTTTGTCCTTTCTTTTATTCCTCCTTCCAATTCCTGTTCTTTCTCCTCCTCTTTATTCTTCCTCTCCCATTCTTCTTTCCTATTACCTCAGGACATTGGCCCCCACAGGCATTGCTTAATTCAGCCTGTGATGCAAAAGGTTTTAAGTCTCACTTGTCCTGAGTGAGTCAACTTGAATTCAATAGACAATCTAATGGGGGGCTCTGAGAATGCCTCACTGATGACCAAGAAACACATTCTTGCTAGAGAAGCTTATTCTTTGGGAAAAGCAATTTTGAGCAAGGAAGGGTGTGGGGGGGATTGCTTTAAAAAAAAAAAAAGTAATTTGGCTGCAAGGGGAAAAGATTGCCTTCAGAAAATCTGCTGATGAAGTCACAGAATGACTCCACCTCTTCATTTTTTGGTATTTTGGTAAGAAATGTGGCTCTCGATTGGGAATTCAGTCACTCTATCCACTCAAGGGCAAAATGATAAGGTTCTATCAGACCAAGCGTCTAAATGAACCTGAGACTCTATCAAGGTCAGAAATGCTGCATGTCAAGCCAAAAGATCTCTCTTGGGCTTGCTTGTTTTGACTTGTACCCACAAGTCAAATTTGTCTTGTCTAAGTGTCCAATCACCTTATAAAACCAAGTGCAGCTCTCTACAGTACAGCATCTTCTCCAGGGACAGGAGTCCTAGCTATACCTCTTGGGGGATTCTCTAATTTTTCGGCCCCTTTGATTTCCACAGGACTTTAACTTGCCTCCATTGAGCTAGAGGAACAGAGTATGATTTTGGAAATGCTGAACCCAGTGCATTATAACATTACCAACATAGTGCCCGAAGCTGTTCCTGTTGCCACCATGCCCATCCTGCTGCTCACTGGCTTTCTTTTTTTGATCTGGAATTATGAGGACACATCTTCAATCCCAGGTAAGTCGTCATTTATTTTGTGTCTAAGATTATTTACTTGGGTTTTTGGTCCATGAGGGTAAAGAAAATTTTGTAAAAAGACACAGAGCAAACCTGGGGAGAGAGCTGAATCCCACAGCAACATTAGCAAATGAAGACTCGGGTGAAAATTGTGATATCAATTATCTGTACATTTTAAATGAAATTATTTTAAAATATATTAGATAACACCTTCTACTCTGTAATTATCTCTGGTAAGGCAGACTTGGCACAAACCCTTTAACATGTAAGTTTGAGACTGGAAGGAGTAAGGTAAAAATTTAGGGTTTTTTGTTGTTGTTTATTTGTTGGATTCAAATTCATACCAATTTTGCTCTGAAGGTGGAAAAGTCTCTGGAATACCTTCTGTACTCCTTTCCTTCTCCTTCCCATTCTGCCTCATCCAAGCCTTCTCCCTGCTTTCTCTTCATTTTCTTATGTTCTTAAGGGGAGGGGGGTGATAACAGTGCCACCGTAAGAACTGGATGAGACCTGGGCAGTTGGAAGAAGGGGTCCACTACAATTTCCTTTGAACATCACACCAGGATAGATTCTTCAACAAGATCTGTGGGTCAATCAAAAGTAGAGTATAATATAAATAACCAGATAAATTCACTAGAAACCCCTAGAGCTCCACCATCGTCAGATTAATTCAGAATGAACCAGAAATATCAGATTAGTTTTTTAGTTTTCAGTGAAAATTCCTTGTGGCAGGCATCTGCCCCAATCCCATAAGCTGTACAGTAAGGCTATATTTCAGGAGCATAGTCATTACACCTTCCAAGAGTGGTGTACCTCAACACAGAGTAATTTAGAGCCGGAGTATGGGGCCATTGCCAAGTGCCCTGTGTCTGGATTCTTCAAGAATTTTCAAAGAACTGCCTGTCTCTCTGTCTAATTCAGCCTGGTACTTTAGGTTACTGTGATACCCAATTTAACAAAACATTTAATTTTTTCTCTACTCCTGGTGGGGTCTGAGGGAAGATTCTTCCATGGTCTTTAACTTGAAATCCTTTCTCACTGAACTTCTTCCCCAGTGGGCTCCCCGGTCAGATTCCAGGAATAGTGGAGGTGAAGTAGGTGCATTTTAAACTAATCCCTCCTCCCACCACACACATACACACACACACACACACACACACACACGAGAGAGAGAGAGAGAGAGAGAGAGAGAGAGAGAGAGAGAGAGAGAGAGAGAGAGAGAGAGAGAGAGGTTTATGCTGCAGGTGGTGGTAGAATTCCCTCAGCCCCATGAGTGAGGAAGTCAATCTAGGGGGCAAGTATGAGAACTGGCATCCCTGGAGCTATGGGTCAGGAGCCTCGGTGGCCACCCATTCTGCCCCTGCTGTGGGCAGGGGACATCATGCTGCCATACACTGATAGGTCACATAGTGCTGTGGCTCTCAGCCACACGTGAAGAGGGGCCCCCATGCTGATATTTGAAAAAAATCTCCCCAAGTGATTTTTCCTGAGCAGCCAGGGTTGAGAGCCACAGATATAAGCCCAACACCTTCATTTGACAGAAGGAGATACTGAGTCCCAGAGAGGCGATCGGCCGCACCAAGCAAATGATTTTGACAAAAATGAGAAACCATGAAGTCCAATCTCCCCATCTTACAGCTTATTGTCAGATGCCCCGCTGCATGGAAAGTGAAAGTGCATGTATGATGGGGCAACTGGAAGCCCTACTTCCCACGTGGCTGCTCATTTTGCTAGCCAGGGATCTTCTAGGTCCAGGCTTTCCCTTTGAAAATGTGAGGTCTGCTCAGAATCCTCTGTGGCACAGACTCTAAGATCCCATGTTCCTTGTTAGGGCAGGGAAAGTGAGGAAATTGGCTTTTCTGGGGTAATTTCAACCAATACTTCTAAACTCCTTTGGCCAGTTCCCTCTCGTCACTGGTCTCTGGGTTCTCAATTTTAGGTATGGGGAAGCTCAGAGTCAGCAAAAGCCAAAGGAGCTTAAGAAGATGCAATGATTCAAAGCCCTTAAGTTTAAGTTATAGTTTACAACAAAGCAACTTCATACCCATTTTCTCTTGTGATCCTCATAGCACTCTGGTGGGGTGGGTGTGTTTCTGCCTATTTTGCAGATAAAAGAACCTGAAACTAAAAGATGGTAAATATTGCATGTCTACTAAGTGATGAAACTCGGACTCAAGTCTAAGCTTCTTTAACCCACATGTAGTGACTGTCCCTGCTATATCAGGCTCTGGGAGGTGAGGGAGACATGGGGGTATAGAGATGATACACAGACAGGTGACTCCATGCCAGGGAGATCTATGAGAGTCTGGGTGAGGAATTAGGAGCTCTAAAAGCTTCAGTTCTGGAAAATGCTAAGAGTTCGCTGATCTTTGTGCAAGATTCACAGTTCCTGGCACCTGGCAGCTCTTTCCCAAAACACACAGCCATTCCCCAACCTTGCACATGGGTCTTCTCCCCCAGAGCCTCTCTCTGCTCTGGGCACCAGGTCCCCACAGGGGACCCAGGGGAAAGGACACAGTAATATATTCTCTTTTCTCCTCTAAAAAAATATTTTATGGAATAAAGCACAAATAAACATGCCATCATGCTCCAGGACAAAAAACAGAATGTCAGCAGAGTTCCCCAAAAACATCTCTTGTGTCTTTTCAATCATACCCTCTCTCCCCGCAACGGTAAACGTGCTTCTGTTAGGTGACAATTACTCCCTGCATTTTTTTTTTTACAGTTTTACCACCTAATTTCACATCCCCAAACAATATGTAGTTTAGTGCTGCCTGATTTTAAATGTTTTAGCAATGGGATTCTATATTACTTGCTCTTCTATCTTGCTTCTTTTGCTCAATTTTTTACTTGTAAGATTCATCCTCACGGTGGCCTGCAGCTGTAGTTCATATGGGCTGTAGGTCCACAAACATCTTATATTTAATTATTGTTTATACTGTTGAAAGGCATTTGGGGTGTCTTCAGTTTGGGGCATATTGTGAATAGTACTGCTATGAACATCCGTGTGTGCAGGCTTCTCTTAGGGTGTATACCCAGTGTGAAATACCTTTCATACAACAGCTTCTTCATTAGATAGCAGGAAAGAGGCCCAGTTGTTGGCTTCACAAAGGCTGTCTCTATACTAAATTGCAGTCAAGCATTTACTACTGCTTCTCTTAGGGTGAAAACGGCTCCTGCATATGTTGCATGTCTAGATAAGCATCTCCAAAACCGAGAGGCAGAGAGCAGCTTACTATGTGGCTGCAACCAGAATATTTCCCTAATTTCCTACTGAAGTTTCTCCCCTCCTAGAGCATTCTTCTCTCTGGCTGGAAGGGGTAAGATATGTGTGTAAATGAAAAGATCACACTGTGTTATAATTGCTAGATTTTGCACTTTTTCTTTACATACTCTCCCCTCCTGCCGGGATTCTGCTGGGGACCTACTTACACTCTAATTCCTAATTTGGAGCTAGTGTCTATACCTAGTTGGGTTTCAGTAAGTGTTTGTTGGATGAATTAAGTTGACATATGAATGATCACTAAAGGACCCAACACTCTGATTCTCTTCTGGTTAGAACACTCATGTTTCCAACCTAAGTAAAGTTCATTGCAGTCTCCCTTTTGAGTAGACAAAACTCTGCACTGTCATCTTTTATATTTGAATGGTGGTTCCCAAACTTTTTAGATAAAAAATGGAAAGTGCAGCCTTTGTTTCTCATGAGTCTAGGACATTGAGGAAGCAAATGTTGAATAAATCTACTTCTAAATAGCCAGATATTTGATCTCATTTGGAATAAATGTATTTGATATAATGATATTTTTCTATTTTTATAAAAATGTAAGTGCAACCTAAAATACTCTAAAAAGAATGGCATGTAAAAGTTTATTTTCAATATTATATGTACACCTAATTAATTTATGAAATTAGTTCAGAAAACATTTATGAGTCATCTACAATGTTTCAAGTTGAACTATCCAATAAAGTATTTTGTTATGCATATTTCAATTGATAGCAGGTTAGTATATCTCATGACATTTTTAAGGAAATACATATTCAATTAAACTTGCTTATTTAAATCTTTTTAAGAACTTAATGAAATTATTTTATATAAAGTCAGTTATCTACTTATAATATAGTATTATTAGTATAAAAGATTAAGAACCTTTTGAAAATGTTTTCCTTCTATAGATGTGAACAAAGTTCTTCGTGTTAAAGAAAAACAGCTAACAGTCTTGCCCACATTTAATGCAGCTCTTGGATAATTAAGAACCTTGTTTGCCAAATTTGGAACTAAACATCTAATTTAGTTTACTCCAAAAAAAAGCTTAGATTACCTAGATTATTATTACACAACTACTGCCCATAAAGTGAGAATACTCCCTCACACAGTTCTGCATGTTTTGCTTTATAACTATTTCACTAACAGAATGTAATTAAAGAATAAGATTTAGAAAACTAATACTTTATACATAAATTCCTAAAATCTTTTTTAAAAGCCTTTATTTAACTTTTCACCACCACTGGTAAATTCAAGCTACCAAGTTTGATATCTGATATAAGTAACAGAAAATTCTATAGTTGTTCACTGAATTCCTGTCTTCAAAATTCTGCCCTGGAGGGGTAGCTCGGTTGGTTGGAGCCTTCCCAGTCAGGGCTTATACGAGAATCAACCAATTTATACATGAATGCATAAATATATGGAATAATAAATCAGTATTTCTCTCTCTCTCCTTTCATCTTTTTCTAGAATCAATAAACCAATTAATTTTTAAAAATTCTGTCTTTGTCTGCATAAGCAAGGATGAAAGTGGCTGAGTAAAACCACATTGAAGGACTAAAACTCTAGTCTAAAAACTGATCAGACTCACTGACTACTTCAAGTTTTAGCTTTATTTTGCCTAATGAGATTTAGCTTAAGATTCTTTTCTTAAACTGAGTACTTTTTGAAGAATGAATATTATTTGTTTGGGCATTACCTTTGCAGACCATGTTTTTCTTAGGTTAAAAGGTTACACTTTTATAAAAGTTTATATCAAAACTACAACCTAATTCTGATCCACCCATTAGGTCAACTGGGGGATTTAAACCAAAAGTTTTCAGACAAAACTAGGCAGTCAAACAAATCTATCAGTTTGTCACTTTCCCTGGTGACTATGACAGACTGATTAACTTGTATTTGAAACTCAGTGACATCATTTAACATGGCAAGAAAACAGTAGACACATGCCCTAGTTCATTCTAAATGAAATGATTGAGACCAAATGGACCTAGTATGGTGTGGACAATGAATTTCTTTTTACTCATGGAGGGGTAAAGAAATTCTAGTTAAGCTTATTGTTTTGTTTTGTTTTGTTTTAATTTTTAGTGATTCACAGATATACATCAGGAGATGTGAAAAAAACACTTAGGTATAAAAAAAACAAGAACAGCAGTAGAAAAGCAGCCTCTCTTTTTGGTGTAACTGGAATGTTGACTGTGACTTGATGGTTTTCCTAGGTCCTGGCTATTGTATGGGAATTGGGCCCCTCATCTCCCACTTCAGGTTCCTGTGGATGGGGATTGGCAGTGCCTGCAACTACTACAACAAGATGTACGGAGAGTTCATGAGAGTCTGGGTATGTGGAGAAGAAACACTCATTATCAGCAAGTAAGTCTATTAATAATCAGAGACCCATTTTTTAAAGTCAAAGCTGGGCTTTTTCCTATTCAAAAAACAAACTTACTTATTTTGGTATCTTGCCATCTTTGTTCCTGAGGCTATGTTTTTATTAGTTCAGTGAAAGTGAGATATTCCTAGGTAAAAAAATCTAGCATTGCAAACAAGTGGAACAAACAATGAATGGGCTTTGCCTGAAGCCAGCGCTACATAGATAAAGAACTCTGGAAAGCTGGGAAAGTATTCACAATCTCTCTAATCAGTGAATGTGGAGAATATAGATGGTCTGGTTTCAACTTAACATTCTTTAGAAAGAGGCATTATCTTTTCTGCTTTCCTAAGCATTCCTGAGACAAAAATCTGACAGTACCAGTTTGCTAGTGTGTTTCTAATACCAAGCTACTGGGCACCACTAGAAGGGTAGACAGTAGATAAAGAAGCCATCCATCTGACTTCTAGTCATCTATGCTATTTATGACTGCATGCCAATGTCCCAGCTGAATGACCTTATTAAATAAAGCAGGAACACTATTGCTTAATAGAAGAAATAATGTCCCCCATTGTTATATTTTCTAGATAACTTTAGCAGATTGAATTCACTCCAGGATTAACCAAATATGCCTTGATTGTACAGAATTAGCTTTATGAAATACCTGTTTTCGTATTTAGTAACTAGAGGCCCACTGCACAAATTCATGCATAGGTGGAGTCCCTTGGGGTTGGCTGTGAGGTTGGGAGCATGAGTTGGGGCCCAGCTCGTGCTCCTAGCCTCGCAGCCCTGCCTGGAACCTCGCCTTGGCCTGGTACCACCCATTCACCGACTCCACCATCCCACAGTGGTCCCACTCTTGTTGGGACCCATTAGGGCTGGCAGCACCGCCACTGAAGCACCGCATCACCAACGTCCACCATGTTCCATGCTACCCCCCGGTGGTCAGCTCATGTCATTGCGAGCATTCAAACTCCCCAGTTGAACTCCTGGTCAATGGAACAATTTGCAGATTAGGCTTTTATTATATGGGATCATAGAAAATGGAGAATGTCAGAAAGAACATATTTGACCAGACTTCCATCTATCTTTACTAGATTTTTAGCAACTTTGCCAACAGTCTCATTAATGAATTTTTATATTTAAAATCTTTAATGGGGCTTTACCCACAAACTAAGGCTTGCCAGGGTCTTTTACTGATTTATTAGAATGATTTTTTTAGATACATAGATTATCAGCCAGAAGTAAAGTGAAGCATTTCTGGAAACTACATTGATTTTTTTTTCAGGCCAATATTACATATATCATTTCATAAAATACCATATTATCCTCAAAGAATTATCCAATTCTCTGAACCAAATACCTGAAAGAAGGAAGTGAGGGAGAAAAATGTCTTATCTTTCCAAATATTTTTAACTATTTTAATGTTATTTTTGACCAATCTAACACCTCACTTTTTGCCTCAGTTTTTTCTGTTCCTTCAGTTTGATGATTTTGTAATTTTAAGGCATACCATGCTTACACAACTGATGTAAACAGCTTCAGATGGAAATGTCACTTCATTCGGTTCACTGTGAAACCACTCTAATGTAGTGGTTCTCACAGAGTGGTCCCTCAGCCAGCAGCATCAACATACCTGGGAATTTATTAGAAATGCACATTCTTGGGCCCCAACCTGACCCACTAAATAGGAATGCCTGGGGTGGGCCCACTGATGTATTTTCACAAGCTCTCCAGGTGGCTGGAGGCACACTCAAGCTTGAGAAGCACCCTCTCAGGACTAGACCATGCTTACTCTTGGATTTTATTCTCTTGAGCTATTGTTCGGATCAGCCAAATGTGAATGAATTTCATATGTTCTCATTTTAAAAATCAATAGTTTTCTCACTTTTGCAACTGACTGCAGTCTCCAAATGTCCTGGGACTGATGACATTTAGACATGGGGATTGGACATCCCCAGCACAGCAAGCTGTCTTCCTCCCCTCAAGTCAGCATTTGCCTTCCATGTCATCTGTTCTCTCTCTCCACACCTCTCCCCCCCCCACCCCAGACAGGTGCAGTGACCCACAGGATATTCATCCAAAAGGTTATCTGTCCACAGGATCTGGAGCAGTGGTTCTCACCCACACTGCACGTTAAAGTCACTCAGAGAGCTTTAGAAACCCCAATGCTCAGGCACCAGCAGTGTTTATAGCTCTCCGGGTAATTCCAATGTGCTGAGGAGCTTGAGAGGGGACAGGAGGTAACAAGTTTCCAGAGAAGGGGGCCTTTCCCTAGAGCTGAGAGAAAACTAAGTGGAGTTGGAATGGTTTTGTCTTATTGTGTTATCCTTAGGTCTAGCTCAGGTGGTGGTTGTATTAGACTAGAATTTGAGAGAAGAATGACACATGGAGAAAGGAGCAGGGAACCAGAATAGAAATTACTCTTAGATCCCGGATGCTTATATCACCAGATAAATTCCCTGGAAGCCAAAGCCACTTCCTGAAGTGGGACCCTCATTACAGTGAGGGGTGGGTGGCATCCAGCCACTCTGCTGTCTTAATTAGAAAAGTCACCTTAGCCACCTAACCAAGTCAGGCACTGATTCATGCTGGAGATGTGGACACAACTCATCCTGCCCTTTCCCCCAGCTCTTCCAGTTCTTTCTTTGTCCTGTCCTCACAAGCTTTTCACTGGTTGGAGTCTTTGTGTTCTTTTTAATTGCCTCTGAGCCACTCAATTTTGTTAAGGGCCTACCCCGCCCCCGACAGGAATAGGACATGTTTGTCCCTATCTCCTTTCCCTGCCTGTTCTTCAGGTCTCTTCCAGGACTACCTGTACCTCTTGAAAAGACCCCATTGGACCTCAGAAAGCTTTTTATTTTTATATGAATAATTTGCCAGATCTTTTTTCTTTTGAAAAGTTTGAGATCTATAGTCATTATAACTGTGTAGAGATTATGGCTCAACTTTTCTAATCAGTTTAGTTCTGAAGTGGTGAGGGTGCAGAACTTCAGGGCAGGAATGGGGTGGGGGTGAGGCTGGGGGCTGGGCAGGCATGAGTGTTGCTGGGATGTGGCCTGAGCAACTCAGGCTTTGGGGGAAGGTCCATCTAATCATCTGTACATAAAGTATGCACAATTCCCTAATCAGGTATGTGCTAAATCAATGAGGGTCTATAGAAGTTGTGCATGACACTATATGTCATACATAAATTATTTTTTGTCATAAGTACAAAAAAAATTGTAGATAGCATCCATAAAGCAGAATTAGCAACGGACATGCTAATTAGGGTCATATTTCCATATATATTAGCAATTAACATAGCAACTAGGGTTATAGCACATGTTTTAGGAAATTTATTCATTTACTATTTTTTTAAAATCCTCACCTGATGATATGTTTTCTTTTTATTTACTTTAGAGAGAGAGGAAGGGAAAGGGAGGGAGGAAGAGAGAAACATCAATCTGTTGCCTCCTGTACTCCCCCCAAACAAGTAGGGATTGAACCTGCAACCTGGATATGTGCCCTGACCAGGAATCAAACCTGTGACCTTTTGCTGTACAGGGCAACGCTCCAACCAACTAGCCACACCAGCCAGGGCATATTCATTTGTTCTTTAAACATATAATTATTGATAATTTACCATTCTCAATACTAAACTATTAGATGATCCTAAGTTATCATAGTCATTATTGGTTCTGCGTTTATTTGTTAAATAAATATTTACTGAGAAGTTACCATGTTCCCTGGATATCATAAACAAATCAGCCAAAATCCCTACTGTCATAGAGAAATACATTTTTCTATTGTTAATATACTAACAATAAAGAAGTAAAATGTATATATATCAGTAGGGTAACCAACCATCTCAGTTTGCCTGGAACTATGGGGTTTTCTAGGATGTGGGATCTTTAATACTGAAACTGGGACAATCTCAGGCAAACTAGGATGGTTGCTCACAAAGTTAACAGGTAGATATATGCTACATAGAAAATTAAAATAAAATAGGGGAATGGGGAGGGTTTATTGTAGGGTTGGGAGAACAATTGTAAATAAGTGGTCAAGGCAGACCTCATTGAGCAACAGCATTTAAATAAAGACCTAAAGAAAGTGAGGGAGAAAGCCATGCAGAAACCTAGAGGCAAAACATTCCAGACAGAAGGAACAGCAAATGCAAAGGCACTGAGGTATCATTTAAGGAATAAGAAGAATAACAATATGGCTAGTGGAAGAGTAGTGGAGATGGGGTTACAGAGGGAATAGGATAGTAAAATCTTGGTGGGCCTTGCAGGCCATTATAACAACTCTGGCTGGTACCCTGAGTGAAATGTATCGATAGAACTATTAAGGAGTTTAAGCAGAAGAATGACATATCTGACTTACTTCCTCATGTTTCAGCAGAATCGTTAGGAAAAGATGGTGAAGGAACAAGGGATGGGTACAAAGAGAGAAATTAGTGGGGAAATGGTGGTGGCTGGTCCAGGTGAGAGTAGTAAGGTAATAAGATAAAGAGATAAAATTCTGGATATATTTTGAAGGCAAAGCCACAGGTGCTAACAGACCGGATATTGGGTGTGAGTCAAGGTGATGCCAGAGTTTGTGCCTGAACACCTGCAGAATGAAGATACTGACTTATGTGAGATAGGTGGGACAAGTTTGGGATGGGGAGAAATCCACTTTGATTCCATTTCAGACATTTTGACTTGACAGGTCTTGTAGACGTTTAAGTGGGATGTTGAGAAGCAAGGTCTAAGCCTTCTGACTGTCAACAAAACCTCACTGTTACCAATCCAATGCCAACAGGAGTCCTAGTCTGTGGTGTGGTGAAAGGAGTCATTTTATTCAGATAAACAGTTTGCAAACCACAGAAAGGCAGCCTCCAGTGGAAACTGAAAGTGTGCACCTCCAAAGCAAATGGGAGACTCATATATATAAAGTGCCCACCTTGGACCCTGATTGATCCATTTTATGCAAATGAGAAATCCAAATTTACATCATTTGATTGTTCTAAATAGCACTG